ATGTAATTCGTTATTGACATATTTAAATATTAAATAATCAAAACATCACAAGCCCAGACGATAAAAATTTATCACAAAATATAATAAATACCATAAAAAACTATTAACAGACAGTTCTAAAAATTATTGTACGTCTTATTCATTTGTTTCTACAGGATTAATCCGAGTAGATCCCAGAAACATACATTGCATAGTATAACAGTTCTTCAATAATTACACATAAAGAACAAATGTTGGACCTGCTTATAAATATTTAGGTCACATTCTATTTTAATATCCTAACGAATTTTACAGAGCATTTTGGAAGTTTAACTAATCAGTAAAATAAATACCTACATAAATAAATAAAACAGTTAACATTGTCAAAACAATATTGATTGTCAGTGTTAGCTTTATCACTTTTCTCAAAGTGTACTGTTTCTACCCAGTAACTATTGCTATAAGAAATATAAGTACACTAAAGTAATACATATAAATAATAATGAATCACGTTGATAAAATTCCCGATCATGTGTATTAAGTGAAGAAATGTACTCATTTTTTTTGCAGACTATTATGAAAATAAAACGTCATAAGAGATCAGACTACATATCAGTACAATTATATCGATTCAATCAATTTACATGGTTACTTCAAACTTTAATATGCAACACTTGAATAAAAAAAATATTAAAGAAACTTCACGGTTTGATGAAGTTATTTAAACGTAGGTATGTACATTAATTTACGTAATTTTGAATAATACAAAAAGTTGTTAAACAATGAATAATAAAACAATTACTTCTACAACAATTTATATTTACTAATAATATAATTAGACGCAATTAAATAAAAATAAAATTAAACACCTACTTTACTATTTTTGCTAATATTAATTTGTTAACTACAAATAATTGGATTCATAAGGTAACTATCATAATCAGTTGTTATCAGTGTACTTTAATAAACGTTTTTTAATTTAGACAATAGTAGGTACGCCATCCATCAACCGCTTACAGTATCTATTTCAATTTTTAAAAATAATTTCCTTCACGATTGATTAACTCAAATAGGTTTCAATTTTTTTCCATTTGATTAATTTTTCTGTTAGTATCTAAAGTAATTTTCCAAAAGATTAAGAGCAAAACGTTTTACAGATCGTTAGATTTACACTTAGTAAATGGTCCAAAAATACAATCGAACTTCTATAATTCAAAATCTGTTCTAATTCGAATTCTTTTTGTTCCTTCGACATATTGTTTTACATTTGTTCGTAACTCTAACTCGAATTTAACAGGGAAAAAGCTGTAAAAAAGCGGTTAGACTAGAATATATGTAAGGAAAAGACAACACGAACGAAGTGGTCTGAAATTGCAGGACTCCAAAATTAAAACGTTTGAAAGTAAAACAGAAACTTTGAAGTTTCTTTAACTCGAACATAACTGATTACGTTTAGGAAGTTCGAGTTAGGGAACTTTGTATGTTTTTATATTTCGAAATGAGAAATACGCTTTGTTACACAAATATTAATATATATTACTGATTACGGCTCATGCAAATGATAACAACAGTTATGCAACAAATAAACCATGAAAAATAAAAAACCGAGATAAGACAGCAGGGAATCTTTAAAAACAGACAATATGTTTCTACCAATACTTATCTCGAGATTAATAACAGATAATTTATTTTAAAACGCATAATTAACTCCTTCAAGCTATACGACATTTTACAATGGAAAATTTGTTGTTTGGGAAACGTTCGAGAGGAATTTGCATTGAATTCTCCTTGTCGAATTGAATAATTAGAGTTGGAGTGATACAACACTTGTCTATTATCTATTGTGTTTCAATTTAAATTTCTACAATGATTTAGAGTGGCAAAATGAGAGAATAATAAAAGCTGCAGCGAGAACAGATTTAATACGAACTTTTATTAACAATTAGGTAACTCTTATTCTGTGTCCCAATTTATTATTTATTGTATAACAATTATGCACATCTATCTACTGGTAAATTAAAAGTAATTTTATCATAAACTGGATTCGCTATAATAATCACAAATAAAAACAATCTTTGTTTGTTTTTAATACTGTATTGTCTCTGTAAAATAATTAAATTGCAAGCGATACATAAATTGCGCATTAAGTTTATCATGTTCCATTGACCTTCAACCTCTTTTCCGCATACTGAGAATGAGTAAAAAATTATTGTTCAAAAAGCCCATCGTTTGTTTTTAATAATTAATATTAATAGACAAATGCATTGTGTATAGATATATGTAGAACACATGTAATTCTGCAATAATCAATTATTTATGAGAAACATTGAACGCACATGTGTATCGTATATTAGTCATTAAAAAACCTATCGCTGCATACAAAACACGAATAATATGCAATGCTTGGAAAAATTGCGAAACAGTTGAACTAAGAAAAAACCAATTAACAGTTGTTCTTCTTACTTCAAAAAGAATGTACAATTTAACACAGTCTTACGAAAAATTACAAAAGATTTCTATTTCTCTAGAGAATTTACTTTCTGTAAGTTATACATCAATCAGAGATGCACCGGATAGTGCCTTTTATCGGGTACAGGGTAATTAACCGCGTATCTACAAGACATTAATAAACCTGCAGGGTACGCGGTAGTGACATCACTTCAGCATATGTGTAATGTACTTTAGTGTAAAATTATTTAAATATACGTACTATTTTAATGTTAATGTAAAATATATATTATTGTGAATGTCCATTATTAGTGAATGTTAAGATGGACTGGTGTATGTCGGCATTCACCAATTTTAATGGTTTAGGCTCGAATTGCAACTGCAAAGCTTCTAGCGTTCTAGGTAGTTCTAAGTGATAAAGCACTTAATTCTAATAACCAGTGATATGTTAAAGCATTAAAAACTGTCTGTAAGTTATTGATTACCTAGTCGATATTGCTGATTGCATTACTGATTTTGATTAATAAACAATTTTTCTCTATATTTATGATTTAAGTTATTGTGACAATTTGTGTTTTCATTTTTATATCTGCCAATCATTGACAGTAACAATTTAAACACAACGAAGGTAATTGAGATTAACCATGATGTTAACGTATTTTTACAATATATTTTTACATAAAATAAAATTACTGTTTTTGTTGACTTACCATTCTTGGCAGCGTCATTGGCCCATATTTCTGGTAAAGAGTGCAAAAATACATCACCAAGCAAGCCTCCCACAGCAAAACTCAATAAGGTTTTCAGAAGATTTGCGCTTTCTGTAACAAAAGAAACTCTAAATAGATCCGTGGTTTCTGTGAAAATTACTTGCTGTTATAGACTGCTCTAACTGGCAAAGTTACAGAATTAATTGCTAACAGTATTTAGGTGGTTCGCAAAAAAATTTTTGTAAATTACCTTGAAATTACGTATCAGTGTAAAATGTTATACATATATCGAGGTATTTTAATAAAAAAAAATAATACATTATAGACGACACTATCAAATATTTTGTAGACCGACAAATCTTGAGACAAATGTTTAATTTGAAAAACTTCTGATAATTCTCATTAACGTAAACAAAAGTTGACGTCATAGATACTCAATCTAGATAAAAAGCAAAATATAACAAATCCCAGTGCAGTGTGACTGCATACTGCTTGCGCACTTATACAATTACGTTTAACAATAAGATTCGTAGTATAAAGAAAAAACGAGGAAATTCCCGTTGAAAATAAAGGAATTCGATTTCTTTTTTAGTTGACGAAAGTTACACAACTATTTATACGGTTTAACAATAATATTGCAGTACAATGGTGCATAACTAAATAAATCTTAAGACGTAAAGGAAAACAATTTGTTGCAGATACCAAGAAACGGCTTAACGATAGTTACATGTAATTATGTAGGTAATTAATACATTTAAAGTAATGAAAAAGAATACAATACTTAATAAAATTTTCAAGTACCGGTTTAAAAAGGATATTACGAATTTAAGAAAAGAACCGGCTAGTTATGCGTGAAAATTAAATTCACCATATTGTACATAGAGTAAACAAACAAAAAAAAAGGAAAAAGTGTCTAAACAAATTTAAAAAGTGGGTGCGTACATTAGGTATACATCGAACTTACAATTCTCATTGTATTTAACAAGCGTTAAATACGATAAAAACACCGATCAAAATGATTCAAATTTTATAGTTTTTGGAACAAATGAATTGAGGTAGAATGAAAACCTATGCGACACAAATAGAAACAATCCCAACAATAAAATGTGTGATTTCTATGCTTGGCGAACTTTTTGCCTTACCTGTATAGGTAACATAGTTTATCATTTGACTTACACAGTTTCTTATTTAACAATACCAAGAACACCATCAATGAACATAAAAAAATAGTAGTCTAGACCCTAGATCACACCTGAAGACTATACAGACAGACACAAAAAAATTAAGGGGTTGTTTGCGTCTTAATAGCATTTAAATAACCATATGAATAGAAAAGCCAGTTATTTCGATATTACACACTTCAATTTTATTTATTACTTAATATGTAGAGGTACGTTATGGTTAATAGCTTACTTGGTTAGTTTGGAACAAAAAAATGGAAAACGAAGCTGATTTTTGAGAATGTCATTTTTTAAGAAAAATGATAATATAAAAAAGAAAAAACTGCATACGCATTCTCATTATTGTAAAAGAACATTCTAGAAGTCAGTTGTTAGGCAAACAGTGCCCAGCAAAATGCAATCATTCAATAATATGGTTTAGGAATCAATACAAACGAATACTAGTAGGTATGTTAAGGAACAAAAAATACCGTGAAATAAATTTGTTCCACGTCGATTTAGTCCAGTAATTTTACAGCCGCTAAATTTTTAGCATGAAATTACATAATTGCGGTGCAAGTAATCCTAAAACTACTTACCTAATTTTCATTAAAAAATTAAAGGTCCCTATAAAAGTAAAAGTGTTACTTACGCTACTTTTAAATTCCAATTTTTTTTTTTTATTTTAAATAGGTATTTAATTGTTTCATTTTCCATAAAAAGTGGACATAGGTATATTATTTAAGCTACATTATTATTGCTGTAAATTACATGTAAACTATTTGTTTACATATTTAAATTAAATTTAAATATAGGTGAATTTACGCCGGATAAATTGTTTATAAACAAAATACTAACGGTAATTGTAATGCAAATACCTGCATATATACAAAACGTAAAGATATGCGAAAACCGTTTCATGAAGATAATAGAATTAATGGATTCTAGTTAACATTGACCTAGAAGGACATTTTTGCATGTTAATTTATCAGAAAGCCCAATGTTATTCATAGTTCAAGTAAACAAAAATGTCTGTTTTTTTGTTAAAACGTAGTTGCTGTTTGAGAGCATTGCGCCCGATCTACTGTGTCGTTGCCAATCACCAAGTAAACATAACCTATACGCCGTCACATCCAAAAATGTTTTGTTTATCATTAACTTCTATATAAAAAATTATCATTATAAGTAATCTGTCTGTTCTTCTCGAAAATCAATTTTGCTCTACTAAATAAAATAAACATATTTTATTGTTGCTACTATTTACTACTGTATATAATTAGCTACATTGTACAGAACGTCAAGTACTAATTTTATATTTGTATTAAAAGTACCACTGTTACTACCACCTGATATAGTATTAATAATAGATTAGCATATATTCTCACCTCCACTTTTCAAGTTAACAGATTCATCTAAAGGAATAACTAATAGCGGGAGGACGCCGCTTAGCCCGATAAGCATAGAACCAAACATGGCCCACAACCATGGCAGATATTCGAAGGTAAAAATCCATCCAGGTACGAATTCCAGCATTAATGTTTTGTATGCAACGGGCAAACCGTCTGTTTCATTAAAGAGTTTCCACGATAACATTTCAGAACAAGCTGACATTGTCTTTTTTAATTGCTATCAGAAGATGTTCGTCAACAGCAGGGTCAAATGCACTTTTGACGCACAATGCTCCGTTAAATTCAATTATATAATTTCATACCGATTCTAATACTGTATCAATTTGACGAAAATTTAGTCAACGTTTTTTATATTCACTTTGTTTTTAAAATAAAGGAAAATGATACTGTATGTTCCATTACGTCATTGTTAAAAGCAGATAACTGCGCCACACAACTTTACTCCAACACTTATCCCACTCTTCTGCCAACGTTCTGCGAGTCTGCGTCTGGCGGATGATAATTCATTCTCCCCTCCTGTGTTTTTAAAAGACAGGAGCGGCTTTTACAAAAAGTTTTAAACTGCATATTATTAGGCATTGCGCGTTTATTAAAGATGTTCTATTTAATATAAATATCTGTCTAATCGTAAAATTAAAAACAAATTAATCAGTAGGTCAATATTATTCACGACAATTTTAATATGCAAACAGCAGGCATAGAAATAATATAGCGGCGAGTTACAAATCATAGCAGGGATATTCTGCATTCATGTAATACAACTACAATAAATGCAGTTTAAAGCTTTTAAGAAGTGGTAGTTTTTATTCAAAAGTTCTTGAAAGTTCTGTTAGATTAGGAGTTTTCAGAAAAACAAGCGATATTTTAAAACGTGGCTGAAAAATACATTCTACACGCTTCCCAAAATGTAACAAACAAAATACCCCAAAAAAATGTGCCTTATTTGTAATGCAATTACTACTAATTATTAGGAAAGCAATTTAATGTTATTGTTATAGAAAAACCTTTTTATAATTAGTACTATTTTAGTTTGTTATATTTTTTGTTTGTAAAAATTGTTCTAATGAGTGAAAAAGTTAATGAGATAGGAGTTTCATCACTAATAATAAGTAGATCACACCTGAAGACTATACAGACAGACACAAAAAAATTAAGGGGTTGTTTGCGTCTTAATAGCATTTAAATAACCATATGAATAGAAAAGCCAGTTATTTCGATATTACACACTTCAATTTTATTTATTACTTAATATGTAGAGGTACGTTATGGTTAATAGCTTACTTGGTTAGTTTGGAACAAAAAAATGGAAAACGAAGCTGATTTTTGAGAATGTCATTTTTTAAGAAAAATGATAATATAAAAAAGAAAAAACTGCATACGCATTCTCATTATTGTAAAAGAACATTCTAGAAGTCAGTTGTTAGGCAAACAGTGCCCAGCAAAATGCAATCATTCAATAATATGGTTTAGGAATCAATACAAACGAATACTAGTAGGTATGTTAAGGAACAAAAAATACCGTGAAATAAATTTGTTCCACGTCGATTTAGTCCAGTAATTTTACAGCCGCTAAATTTTTAGCATGAAATTACATAATTGCGGTGCAAGTAATCCTAAAACTACTTACCTAATTTTCATTAAAAAATTAAAGGTCCCTATAAAAGTAAAAGTGTTACTTACGCTACTTTTAAATTCCAATTTTTTTTTTTTATTTTAAATAGGTATTTAATTGTTTCATTTTCCATAAAAAG